TCTTCACATGATGTTGGTCATGGATTATCCTCCTCATGGCAGTACAGACAGATGATATCTGTTGATTTGAAAGTGTATGTCTTGAAGGATCTATGACCTGAGTAGAAATGTGTTCACCCACTCTTCTATTCTTGTTTTGCTTTGCTTATGGCCCGCTTATTATTATAGGCAACTTATAAAATGTCAGTTCCAACGACTAAAATGCTCTTTCCTTTCGTAAAAAACTTTATCATTCCTGAAAATTTACTGTATCTAAATAAAAAAAAATTATCTATGAATACTTAAAACTATCCTTGTCTAACAACTTTTCTAAAAAAAGCATTTGGTAATTTAAAGTATAACCAATAGTTTAATATCCATGAATATTAATTAATCCGAAATCCAAATCCCGCGCTTTAATAATTTATCTCCCTCCCTCACACTCCGATACCGAATAACCCCATCCCATTCTCATGCCCAACTATATACAAAATCAATATCAACTGTATGGAAATGGAAAAGTTTCCAAAACAAAACAACCACCAACACTGCAATTTTCCGCGCTTTCCATCGCTCGAAACCTTTTAAAAAGCTTTTCTTTTCCGGCTAATTGAAGAAAACTCTTGAAAACTTTAGGGTTCTAGAAGAGCTTCGTCGCATACCTTAAGCCCAAAGCTCGCCGAGGTATCTTCTTGGAAAATTTTTGCAGCAGGAGAGCAGAAGAGAGTGTTGGTAAGGGTTTTTCTCTCTGGTATTTCCACCCCTTTCCAATGCGAAATGCGCAGGATTGAAACAAGTGTTTCAATCGATAAATTCGCGGTTTGATTAGGGACACCCACTGACTGATTATTTTAGGAGTTCGTCAAACGCGTTGCAATCAAAACGATACCTCCTAAACAGAAATTACAGAAAATTGTGTAGTGATTTATAATTTTTTTTTACAAATAAAAGTTATTTTGCTCGAGTCGTTTTATGATGCTTAGTTTTTCGAATGCACTTTATATTCCTATATGGTCTAAGATATAAACTATCAGTAGTAAGACACTAAATATTTTTAGTTAATATTAAAAGTAAATATTGATTTTTTTCTTATATCTTAAAATATTTTTTACGCTTCAGATAAAGGTCCTAACATATTATGGTATACGTATGTTCTTTATCGCTTTTCGAATTAAGATGTGACAATTTTTTACCATTGTTTGGTCCCAAACTCTTTGGTTCCAAAATAGCTTTATGCTTAGTTTTAGTTGTTATTCATTTTCTTCCCTAATAGATATCTTGTAGTTTACTAGGTTACACCAAAGATATCTAATAGAAAGTATGTGGATAGAATGGATAGGTCTTGTATATGTCGTTTTATAAAATGTCTGGACATTTTACAAAATGCGGGCATATTACGGCCAGATTGTCAAATTCTCGTTTAACATTCATTAGCCGTTTTAAAGCGATCAACCGGTAATTTGCGGTATTTACCGTTTTAATTAAAGCGATGTTGGTTATTCTTGGTTACTTTCTATGACGTTATATTTAAGCCCTTTGAAACGTCATTAATTATATTATAACCGGTAAATACCTGATTTCAGACGTGGGTTAATACTGACAAGTGACATGCAGTTAGTTGGTTAGATTATAGAACTCACTCAATCAAATCTGGAAGTTACCTTAGTGTAAATACCTGATTCCAGACCCCGGTGAATGATTGTCTTTCATCGTGTTCCAGACGTGGGTTAATACTGACAAGTGACATGCAGTTAGTGTTTTTTGGTTAGATTGTAGAACTCACTGAATCAAATTTGGAAGTTACTATAAAGACTTATCTCTAGTCTTCATAGAAGTTACATTAGCTATTACGCTTTTAATTAAGTATATAGCAAATGTTTCTCATACGATGTGTAAAAAACATGTTATTATACTGTTCCTTATTGAATTCTAACATCCAGTCTATACTTACTATTACTATAATTACTATAACTCTTTGGCCACACGTCAATATTACACAAATTTATTCCGACCAGTTTCTTAAATTTTAAACCATCACTAACAAGGTAGTGAATTAAATTGGTTATATCGCTGTACATAAGAAAAACCCGTGTGAACGAATTTTTCTCACTTTCTACTTTAAGTCAGTCAATAGAAATTAACGTAGAAATAAATGTCAAGATTTCATATCATTCACATACTTTGATTTTCTTTGATTACTACACGAGGCAAGAGAGAGGTCCGACACGCCCAACATAAGGCGCGGCCATTTTGAACCCTGTGACACAGTTTACAGCTAAAGAATCAGATCGCTCACTCTGCGTCGGCACTTTTGATCTCAATGTTTCAGTTTATACACTGTGCAACTCGGATAATACAATATATGACAACCGCCTATAATAAAACAGCAGTCTTCTGCGTATCCTGAATTTGTATCCCTGGAGTGGATGTTATTTTGGAACTTTCAACTGGTCCGAGTGAGCTAACTGATTCTTTAGCAATAAACTGTGACTTCAAAAATAATATTCACTGAGACTGACAGCAGCAAGCAAAATATCAGGTGCGTTTTAATCATCCGCTTCTGCTTCCGAAATTGTCGGTTTAGTCGTTTTAACCTGTCAGATTAAAACAAGAAAACCGACAATTCCGAAGCAGAAGCGGATGATTAAAACGCACCTATTAAAAATATTGCGCCAAGATGTAGGCAACACGTAATAAGGGTTAAAAATGGCGGAGTTTTCTATCTTCTTTTAAAAGGCACTCAGAAAGCTGCGCAGTGCGACCATTCTCCGTATAGTAAAAGAAAATCAAAGTATGTGATGTGATATCATTCCTTAAAAATGATTTAACGTTAAGGCCCAGTATAATTAATTATACTGGGGTTAAGGCCCAACTCAATCTTATTTGACATATAGTCCAATTTTTTTTAGGTTAAAAAATTGCATTATCGATTTTTTCATTCGAAGTAATACAAGACGTCACTTTAAATTTCTCTCTTTTGGTGCGTTTGATTTGATCATCGGAGATCTCCGAGCGCTTCAAAAGTGTTTGAATTGACACTCCGAGAGATCCCCAAAGTGTTTGTTTCGCTTTGGAGCGAGAACATAGAGCAAGCTCGATGTTCTCAGAGCAGAAAGATCGAGAAGAGGGAGAAATTTGTCTTTGTCTCTACCTATCTCTTTTTAATTAACTTACAAACAAATTTGAATCTCAAAATTAAAGACCAGTCAAGAAGTCAACAAATTACTTAGCCGCTTTTGTCTTATAGCTAAAATTATTCATCATAAAAAAACAAAATGTGTGTTTGGAAAATACATTTTTTCTGTCCAGATCTAATCACCAGTAATCACAGTCATGGAGTATGAGAGCGAAGCGGGCATTTGTGGTAAATGCTGCATTTCAGGGCCATTACCCCTTATTATTAAAAGTTTTTCCATTTTCTTTACTTTTTGCTCACTATTTTAACATACAAACCAAAAACAAGATTCACAGAAAAGCGAGGTTATGTTTTTAACTCTGTTTTATTTGATTTGATTCAATGCTCTATTGTGACGTCATCACTTCTCGGTCTCCTCGACGCTCGCTCGATCGAGTTTCAAATCAAACGCCCCTTTTATGTCAACAAATATGTAACACGATGAATTTATAAATCGTATGTCACTAATGAGTATGTGGCACATACTTTGAGTAAAAGAAAATCAAAGTATGTGGTATGTGGCGGCAACTGACGGCAAAACTGTCAGCTACTAGAATACATACAGGTCCGGTATAAGCCATATACATATAAATGGAAAATAATAATTTAATGTTTTGATCGAGTTAAATAAAATATCAAAATTAAATGTTTATTTTTTAAGTAAACGACATTTTTAAATGTATACGTCTCAATCAAAAATAATATAGGCTAATACTCAAGTGTATACGAGTGTACTGGACAAGATATAATTTTACACTTTACTCCAGTTTTTTGTAATGAAACCAGCGGTAAAATAGATATTTGTGTACCAAGGCTGTGTTTTGGCGGAATTATAATCTAAGCGAGTTCTGGTTAAGTATTTAGGGAGTAATAGGCAAGAAACGGATGTTCAACCAAACTTGACATCGAGATAGATGTCACATAAGCAGGTGTACTGAAGATGAACTTTGCAGGACCCAGCATTAGATAGGTATATTACTTGATATTCTGAAAACAATGCATACTACACTGAATAAGAACGAATGGAAGTGTCAGAAGGAGGCTAAAGGCAAAAAATAGACGGAACAGAGCTGGATAGATAGATAAGTAATATTTTAGCCAGGAGAGAGTCGATGAATGTTATATAGTAAATTTATGAATGTATTTTTAATGTATAATTTCAGTTTATTTTCATTTTTGGTATAAAACTAGCCCTACATTTTTAAATCTAATCACAAGATTCCTGAAATAATTAGGCAAAAATAAAAGAATGTATTTAGCGTTTTAACTTTTAAATACTATAAAAAATGGTGGAAAGTCCATAACTTTTAAATATTTGTTAAATATCACTTATTAAAATATTATATATTAAAAGTAAAACAAACTATAGACTTTCCACCATTCTTTACTGTTTTTTGAACCCATTTTTGAAAACAGTTTTTCAAAATATTATCGTTCAGAGCTGTATTTTTATGATAAAAAAGTAGCCGTCACTTGTCATTGACATTGGTCTTAATGCGTTACAATAACTGGTTATATTTTTAGGGCTTTAGTCACGTGATTTCAAGGTTAACCAAGGGTATAACTAAAGTTTTTTCTGGTTTATCGCTAGCTAAATGTTTTATAAAATGACGGTCAACTCGCGGCCAAATTGTCAAATGTTTAAAATTATATTCTGCTTGACATTAAATCAAAGAATAGAGTCCTCGAGCTAAAGCTCTCGGATTTTATACAGATTATTAATGAAAAAATTATGTTTCGACAAATTGATTTCAAAAACACTCAAAATTTAGAAACACTAAAAATAGTCGACTATTTATCAAGGTCTCGTTTTATTACCCTTTATCGGGTTGTGATTATCAAACCACAAAACAAAGATACACAGAAATAATTTAATAAATTTAGGAAATACCCTATCATTATTGTTAACCAAAATTCAATGGAAGACATGTAGAAAAATAATGATCGTCACATTTTATCTGAATTATACTTCCTCTTAGTCACATCGATACCTACCCATCACTGCGTTTAAATTTCACGAATGATATCTATAAATATTTTATTAATGTTATTAGCAATAACAAATGTTTAGAACCGTATACTACTACTAGTATGAAATTCATATATTTTTTGTTATTTTTGGTGTATTGTTGTCCGTTTGTTTTGAGTGCTCCAGAAATATGCCCAACTACAAATTTAAAAGAAGGGTTAGTGAAGTTGTATTATTGTCAATTTATAGAAATTGTAACTTTTCAAAATAAAACAGAGAAGATCAACTCACGTAGCCAGGAGATAAAAGGTAAAATAGATATAGGGTATCTACCTAGTTACAAATTTAGTGTCTTAGTAAATAGTTTAGTAAACTGAGCCCCTAAAAATCATCTTTATTATTTAAACCATAAGTATTGTATATAAAAATATATAGGGCTGTCCATTTACCAAAAACTGTCTGTTACTGCATGTACATGAATTTTGATTATTCAAGTTTACATTTAATAAAAACGTAAGCTTCACTTATAAAAAAATAGGTTTGTATAATATTTTCAATCTACATTTATTACACTTGTTTCTTGTTGATGTTTAAGTTTATTTATTGAAATATCTTCCTAATTTTTATTACCTACCAAAAAATTGCAAGCTTAATAATTTACCTAATTAATTTTGCTTGCTGTACTAAACGTTTGCAATTTATTAATTAAATTTTTTTTTACAATTTTCTATTTTTAACTTCTTTCGCCTTGAATTACGTGCATCACGGGCTTTCTTAAATACATAATTATACAAGGGAAGGGGTTGGTTGAAATTAACAAGAATATTTTCAAAATTCATATTTTGCAACATATTAGTTGTGTTGTTCTGTCTAGCAATATCGCTTAAGTAGAACAAGTCGTTGCAGCTCTTGTGTTTTGTTTTTTTTACTGAAAACTATTAGGTACAGGGTTATTCATTATAAATTACTTACCCTTTATACCATAATTATTATAGTATATTTATATTCACCGAATTTTGTTACAATGCCATCAAAAATACAGTGACCACATCAGTGGCGTGTATCTTTCACGGGATACAACATAAATAATATTTTTTAATTGGGATAGCATATAGATATATATATTTTGTTCAATTTTTCGAATGAATAATAATTTAACGTCGAATATCTTATATTAGAAAAATATTTACACTTTTTTTCTCACTGTAAACTACCTATTTGGATTATTTTATTATCAACCATAATAGTTGTGATTTTCATAGCTTTTACTTTAATAATGTTAACTTGTCCACATTTACATTTTTTTTTAATAATGGCACTGGATAAAACCAAAAGGCCAGACTATTGTAGTAATCCATAATTCTTTAATTGTTTTATCCACTTTTTTTTATTTTGGTGTCATCGGCATCGACTACTAAGGCCATTATCCTCGTGTTCTGTGTAGGCTTTGTTACTGTTTCCCAGCGCCACTTTAGGAACAGCACTGTTAATTAGAACCCAACAGTGAATGGTCGAGTGGGGAATCCTACCAAGGCATCAGAATTAATTTTAAATAATTATATTAAATAAAAAAATCCCGGCCGACGGTGGGATTCGAACCTGGGACCCTTGGATCCACAGGCAGAGACTCTACCACTGAGCCACCCACCCCTTTATCCATTATTGTTGTTACTTGATTACATTATTATTATTATATTTTAACTTACAGGTATCAGAATACCTGAGTTTGTAATTAATTATAAAAATATAATTTTTTTTTAATTATTTGTATTTTTGTTTATTTTTTTTTATTTTTTTTTGTATTATTTTTGTTTTCGTTTTTTTTTGTTCTATATTATTTTTTGTTTTTTCTTTTTTTTCCTTTGTTTCTTTTTTGTTTTATTACTTATTTTATTTTTTCGTTTCAGGTTTACAATATTTTTAGGGTAGCTCAGCTACTTACAATATTGTATTAGTTTTTTTTTTAACAAATTCATATAATATTTTATAAACTTTAACATCGTTTAGATCTTGTCGATTTTTCCTGTCCAGACTTGAATACTCTAAGAACTACGTTTTTCCTGTCCAGTCTCGAATATTGTGCGACGAGTAAGTTGCATATTAGATCTTGTTGATTTTTCCTGTCCAGACTTAAAGACTTAAAGACTCATCTACGAAGCACGAGACCACGAGTATAAATAAAACTGCAGGAGACATCGTAATCAAAATAGTTATTATTTTCTTCGGCTACGTGAAGGTCAAAAACCAAGACGCAAAGTTATAGTTATAAATATTCGACGGAGTGCTTTATATTTTGTGTTAATTGTGTTGAAATTAAATTTTATGAAATGGTAAGTACCTACCCACATAATACCTATGTATTTGACTTAATTTATGCCCGATTCGCCTGTTCCCATTTCGCCTGACCAATTAAAATTTCTTGATTCGCCTGACAAGCTCAACTTGTGGTTTCGTTTCGCCTGACCATAAGTTGGATGGTGCGTGCTTTTTTTATCATAAAGGCCATTTTCAAAATACATGCAAAATTTGATTTATAAGGATGATTTGATTTGAAACAAAAAAAAACTGCGTTTATTGACATTATTATTTGTATTTGTACCAGTGTTTTTAAATCAATTATTTTTAAATTTTCTAAACCATCTTGATAATTTTCCCTTTAAATCTTTTTTCATAGATATACTTAGTTCTTTTCTAAAGTAATCTATAGTTGAATTTATTACTGGAGGAATTTTAGTTTTTAAATATATTTTTTTTGTCCTGGTCGGTTATTGGGACACCAAAAAATTTCTAAATTCAAATAGTTTATTCGCTTTACGCTTCGTCAATTTGAAAAAAATGTTTAGTTTTTATTTTACTAACTTTTTACTATGCTGGGTGCTCTATATTTTTTGTTTATATCAAATTAAATAACTATAACATTTTAATTTAATTTTATGTTCATTTCTTATTATTATTAATTTGTTAGTAATAGCTTTCTTTGCAGCAAATACATATTTATTACCTGAGCAGGTCAGGAGAATCGTAACTATTTTTTTCCGTTTAACATGTAGTCAGGCAAAACGCTACCAAAGCGTACCAAATTTTTATGTCAGGCAAAACGGGAATATACCTTTGACTTTGACTTACTTCGGCTATTAATAAGATATTGTGGAAAATACTACAAAAGTAATTCACATCTGAAAATCGGGAAGTGTGGTTTTTTTCCTGTGTGGAAAAATATGTTTATTATTTTTTGTGTTAAAGTTTGTGCACTAAAACCTGAATTACCCTCAATATTAAATGCCTTTAGCAATTTTTGATCTAGTATTTCTTAATTTCTAGGAGCCACAGAAGAGAAAACGACCTTCCGGTGCAAAATATCGAGTGCAAAAAAAGTTGGAGTCCAAGAAAGGGAGAAGATGGCTGGCAGTATGAAATATTTCTTGCGAATGAGTCAAGTTTCCAACACTGAAACGATAGAGGTAGGTGAAAATACAGTTTCTAAAGCGGCGGCACCACCATCTTCTGCAACATGTGAACCATCAACATCATCATCACTTATCGAAAATATATTCTCTATAGAGTCGACCATCCCAACAAAGACAACTACAAGTGACACTTCTGACGATGAAGTTTCTACTGAAGCGGTGACTAAGAATACTAGTATTCTTATATCAGAGGACCCCGGTTTATGGCCCAGAAGCATTACCAACGACGAAGTCAGAATATTGGTTGACTGTGGTCCTCCTTTGATAGGAAACAGTTATCAATTTTCCGTTAATAGAGACAAAGACAAAAGAAAATTTTTAAGTAAGTACTTTGTCAGAAAACTAGGAAAAAATCGATATTTTGTTTTTTTTTGTAACATTTTCAGTAAGACTCAATAGTTTTTCTGATACTCATGGTTTTTTTGATTGGCAACATGTGTCCTTAGCCATAAAAAGACATGAAACATCAATTGTACATAATGTTCACATGAATAAATGGATGATTTTAAAAAATATATTAAAATTATCCACAACCGTAAACGATCATCACTTACGGGTTTTAGAAACTAAAAAAAAATATTGGCATGACGTTCTGGAAAGAATTGTTGCAGTTGTCAAATTTTTATCCAGACAATGTCTAGCATTCCAAGGTTCTTCTAAAATACTTTTTGAATTTGATAATGGAAACTTCCTTAAAGCTGTCGAGATGATTTCCTCTTTTCATCCTGTGATGAGAAAGCACATTAGTCGACTGCAAAACCCACAAACAAATTCTTTAAAAATGGCCCATTATTTAGATAGATACAAAACGAAATTATTGAATTAATGTGTTCTAAAGTAAAAAATAATATTTTGAATATGATTCGCAGTTCCAAATAGTATTCAATAATTTTAGACTGTACACCGGATACAAGTCATACAGAGCAAATAAGCCTCGTTTTGCGTTATGTCGTTCTAAATGACATTTCTAAAAAGGCTCAAATACAGGAGAGTTTTATAGCGTTCAACCCAATATCCGACTCGACAGGGAAAGGGCTATTTGATCTTGTCGTTAGACTTTCGAAAAATTTGATTTTAGATATTAACACATACTTTGATTTTCTTTTACTATACGGAGAATGGTCGCAATGCGCAGCTTTCTGAGTGCATTTTAAAAGGACATAGAAAACTCCGCCATTTTGAACCTTTATTACGTGTTGCCTACATCTTGGCGCAATATTTTTAATAGGTGCGTTTTATTCATCCGCTTCTGCTTCGGAATTGTCGGTTTTCTTGTTTTAATCTGACAGGTTAAAACGACTAAACCGACAATTCCGGAAGCAGAAGCGGATGATTAAAACGCACCTGATATTTTGCTTGCTGCTGTCAGTGTCAGTGAATATTATTAGCCACATACTTTGATTTTCTTTTACTATACGGAGAATGGTCGCACTGCGCAGCTTTCTGAGTGCCTTTTAAAAGGAGATAGAAAACTCCGCCATTTTGAACCCTTATTACGTGTTGCCTACATCTTGGCGCAATATTTTTAATAGGTGCGTTTTAATCATCCGCTTCTGCTTCGGAATTGTCAGTTTTCTTGTTTTAATCTGACAGGTTAAAACGACTAAACCGACAATTCCGGAAGCAGAAGCGGATGATTAAAACGAACCTGATATTTTGCTTGCTGCTGTCAGTGTCAGTGAATATTATTTTTGAAGTCACAGTTTATTGCTAAAGAATCAGTTAGCTCACTCGGACCAGTTGAAAGTTCCAAAATAACATCCACTCCAGGAATACAAATTCAGGATACGCAGAAGACTGCTGTTTTATTATAGGCGGTTGTCATATATTGTATTATCCGAG